CCTAGGTGGGCAGGCAGAACTGGGGCTCATCCTACTGGCTTCTTGGCATCAGTCCAGGCCTCCAGCAGCATTCCTTCTGGGAAAGTCTCACTCCAGGGCAATTCTCTGTTAACTCCTGCAGAGCTGGGGCTTAGCACCTCCTACCCCCAGCCCCAGCCTAGAGGATGTTTCTGGAAGTCTGGTAGGAAGGTTCTGTTCTTCCCAGCGTACCCCAGCCTATCCAGTGTGGAGAAGCGCCATCAGGGGTCTGCAGAAGGATGGGGGCTCTAGGTTTGCCTTACAACACAGAAGCTGATGACTTGCTCCCTCCACTAGCCCTCACCCCTCCATCTCTACCCCCAATCAATGGTTAACTTGCTCCCGCTCAGAAGGGGCCCAGTCCAATCTGGGCAAGGCCCTTTGAGCAGCTTACGGAACTCTGCTGGGGTGGCAGGGCCTGCCCTGGGGTGCCCCTATGAGTGGCTGAGTGCTGCATAGGCAGCGGGCGGCAGGCAGTCCCGTGAGGCGCTCTGTGGGCGTCAAAGCTGTGCTGGATGAATAGCTGGCGTCCTCAGGGGCTGATTTCCATCAGGCCAGGGACTGCAGGCCCCCAAGGCAACAGAGGGCCTTGTACCAGGTGACCACAGAGCCCGCGTGTCACCAAAGGCCCCCAGGCCAGTCCCCTCAGCCTCCTGTCATTGGCCATGGGCTTGTGACTATGGGTGTCTAGCTCTTAGCAACCCTGGCTAGCTGAAGTTGGTAGATCCCATCACTTTTTTTCCTTAAGCAAATCAGATTTATGGTATCTTGGGGCAGCACACTATTTTAAAAGACTCTTACAATTGGGTTATTTTGTCAAACAAAGACTAGTCCTCTAATATCTGTTTTGCAAATTCAGATTTTCATGTGTCAAGCTTGCCTGCTACCTGCTGCAAGGGGCAAATGCCTGCTACCTGCTGCAAGTGTCTTCAGGGTCAAAACTGGGTCAGCAGGGACAACAGCCTCTGGCAAAGGGCCTCCTAGAGAGACGAGTGTTCAAGGCCTCTGCGCTGGTGGAGGTCAGCTCCTATCTTCCTTATGGTTTTATGACACGTTCTTTATGATGTGTCACTCCTTTTTCTTCACCTTCAAGGAAAGTTAAGCCTTGTGGATGCCGATCTGGAACACCTGTTAAAGAGGGAATATTTAACTGGCACTGATAGGAATCACTTTCACTTAGGGGTCCAGGAGACTGGTGTTACTGTTGGGCTAGGCTGGATCCTGTACTCCCTGCGCTCCTTGGCAGATGGGCCTGGGCCATGGCCACAGACCAGGCAGTGACTGGGGCACCCGCAGACCAAACAAGCACTATGTCTCCCCTTCTTTGCCCTCCCCATAACTCCTTCCAGAAACCCATTCTGGAACACTGAGTTCTGTGCAAGGCTGTGTTAAACCCAGGTGGGGCAAACTGCCAAAGCAAACCTCTCAGGCTGTCCCCTGTGTGTGCTCACTTCTCTAGGTGCCCTCAAAGTACTTATCTGCCCCCGCCCCCCACCCTGCCTAAGCCTCCCTTTCTAAGTGGGAGCTGCACAAGAGATCCCCCGGGGCTTCTCTTGCCACTGGAGCTCAGCAAGAGAGACAGGGCTGGCAGTGTCTGGTCGGCTCCCTGGACAAAAGTGTGGGAAATCTAGGCGCCTGTGCTCTGGGCAGGTGGGTGGGCCTGGGGAGGGGCGGGGGGGGGGCAGCTCTGAAGCAAAAGGCTGATGGAGCAGGCCCTCAAGTCATTTCAGCCCTACATGAGCACCCTGCTTTCATTTTCCCCAAATTTGATCCCACCTTCCCCCCAGAAAAGTCCATACTCATATTGGAAAACCTGTAATGCAGAAAAATAGAGTATTTCTTTCAAAAAGAAAAGTGGAGTTAAAACCATTCATTTCTAAAACTCGCTGATTAATTTGCCTGTGCTCAAGCCTACTGCCCTCTGGCTTTCCTTTCGGGGGCCCTCTTACTACACCTCACTTCCCTGTGACCTTCAGAGGCACTTTCAGAAGTCTTGAGAACCAGACTCTGCAGGCCCCGCGAGGCCTCCATTTCTCATCACCCCGCCAGCTTTCGTTGATCCCCTTTTCTCTAGTCTGTGACTTCTTGCTCCCAAATGACACTCCCAACTCTCAGGCCTGTCCAGGGAACTTCCTCTCCCAGAATGTCCATGAATGAGAAGGCCCCACTTTGCAAACTAGTAAGAGGTGAGGCCTCCCTAGTCCCAGCCAGGACACAGAGGGAGTCAGTGGAGAAGCCGAGTTCGGCCCTGGTACCCCTCTTCTGTTGAGTGTCGCAGTAGAGGGTCCAATCTGTGATAACCACCACTCACAGGTACCTTTTGGGCCCACCAGATGTCCTGAATTTGCAGCTCCCTTCCAAAGGCCTGTCCTTGAGGAAGCTGGGTGGGGGAGGGGCTGTCCTTCAGTAATTATCACTGGTAAATTTTCCTTTACAAAGCAGGTTGGCCTCTGGCCGGGTTCACTTCAGAGGTAAATGTTAGGACTAGAAAGGGTGGATGAAGACACTGAGCTCCAGAGAGGTAACTTGCCAGAGGCCACGAAGCTAGAACAGTCCCAGGGTTCCCCATTCCCTCTTAGACAAGACCCAGTAGCAACTTTTGCTCCTCCAGGTCACCGCTGGCCAGTCCACATTACGTTGAATGTCACGGATATTATTTAACTTTGTAATGAATTCCAAGCAAAATTCATGTGGCTTTGTGCCCCTGTGGCAGCAGCCAACAGCCCGCCTTCCCCCCCAGCCTAGGTGCAGGTGGAAGGCGGGTGCTGTGTGCTGGGGTGTCTGTTCCCCTTCCTGCAGCCCTGAGCTCCCTGTGAGCTTGCTCCCCCTACCCACTGCCTGGCTCGCGGGCTCCCTGTTGCTGTCAACTTGCCTGCCCGTGCCCAGACACCTCTGCCTTTTTGAAGGCGGCACATCATGTACCTGGGTCCGGGATCATTCAGTTGCACCTTCTGGCTTTCATGCCTGGGCTAGAAAAATAGCCTGTGACTAGGAATCCAGAGAGGACTGTTCCAGGGCAGCTCTCCCCTTCCCACCTCTGACCCCTTTCTCCCCCACCTCTTGCTCCCCCGCAGAAAGCCCACCTCGGCCCACGGAGCCAGCGCCATGACGGAAGTTGGCTGGTGGAAGCTAACCTTCCTCCGGAAAAAGAAATCCACCCCCAAGGTGCTGTATGAGAGCCCTGACACCTACGCCCAAACGGAGGGCAGCCCCGAGCCCCCTCGGCCGGACAGTGGGAGCCCCACCAGTGACTTCAGCACCCGCCTGGAGAAGATTGTGGACAAGAACACAAAGGGAAAGCACGTCAAAGTCTCCAATTCTGGCCGCTTCAAGGAGAAGAAAAAAGTCCGGGCCACTCTGGCAGAGAACCCCAACCTGTTTGATGACAGGGAGGGCAAAAGACAGTGAAGGGGGCCAAGCAGGACGCGAGCCCCTTCCCACTCCCTGCCGTCAGCTGGATCTGAGGCAGGCCGCTTGCCACGCTGGCCCCTGTGGCCACAGCTGAAGCTGCCGGGGCTTTGATGCCTGCTGGCAGGAAATGTCTGGTTTTAAGTTTGTATTTATGCAGCGCAGCTTTCTGGAAGGCCTGGGAGGACCAAGTCCTCCTACCTCCCCCACCACACACAAAGGCACTCCAGTTGGAGGATGAGAAGTCCCACCCCAGGACAACCTTCCTTGGAGCAGTGGCAGTGCCCACAGGGAGGTGGGCATGGCGAGAGTGGGCGAGGGAGCCGGACAGACCGCACCCCCTCCCAGGCAGGACCCCGGGTAAGGGTGACACTGAATTGCTGCTCCTGCTACTTTCTCTACCCCGTGACTGCTCTTGCACCAACTCTGAGAGCGGACTTTCCAGAAGCCATGAGAGGCGGGGTGGCTTCCTAGAGCCAGAGGTGGAGACGCTGCATTTGAGTTCACCTCCTCACACAAGTGGGAGACTTCCTGGAACTTTGCCTCCAGATGTGCAGGGGGGCGAGGGGGGAGGACGACGGGGCCTGACACTTGCCGGGAGATGCAGCAGAAGGCCAGGGTCGGGCCCCCACGGTCCCCACACTACTCTCAAGGGCAAGCTACACTGGCCCACAGGTCCAAACTGGAAGAGGGGTGGTGGGACTCTGGAAGGAGCTAGAAGCAGCCAGTTCTCTCCTCCCCTACTAGTATTTAAGACGATCAGCCCCAGGGATGAGTCCTGGAGCCTCGAATTTTGTTTAAAAAAAAATAATGGTAGGTTTCTCTTTTTGTAATAAACGACGCTTTCAAAGCAGAGAGCCTCTTTCTGCTCCTGTCTTGCTTTTATCGCGCTATTTCACGCCTTTGTTTCCCTTCATGTAAGTCACGTGGAGCGTTGTGCTCAAACTGTCCCTTTTAAAGGTCCCCGGGTATGAAAATCAGCACCAGTGCCATCCACCCCCATGGCATCCACAGCCTCTGGGAGGGGAGGGAGCCCAGAGAGAAGCTGCTTACCCTTTGGGTCAGAGAGGCCCTGGACAGCAGCACTGATCTTTGGTGACTGACCCCAAGACACAGTGGCTTGGTTTGAGACCAGGGCTCAAATCCTGGTTCCACTCTTTAGTAGTTGGCAATTTAGGGAACATTTAAAACCACCACCACTACTAAAACCTCCCCTGAATCTTGGTTTCCTCTTTGTAAAAGGGTTGTGATAGCACCTGGTACTGGTACCTATTTCACAGGGAGTGGCCTGCAGAGTGGCCCAGAGGGTGGATGTGGGTGTGGGTGGGGGGCGACTTTCTTTTATTAAAAAACTCCCCTGTGCTCCCTAGCTTCTGATCAAGGAAGAGGACAGAGCTAGTTTCCTCTGCGGTGAGGCCCAGCCCTTTCTTGGGCCCCAGGAAATGGCAAACAAAAAATGGGCCAATTCTCTGGGGCTTGTCCTGGGAACAGGGAGAGACCAAGGCTGTGACTAAACCATGTAGTTTGTGGCTCTTTGCAGCCTGCTGTGACACCCCACCCCAGGGAGCTGTTGCTCAGGAAATTTATTACCAAAACAAACAGACCATACAAGGGGGCCTTTGTTAGGTGGCCTCACCCCTGCTGGCTGGGGGAGCTCTCAGGTGAGGGCAGAAGACAGGGGGAGGAGGCTCAAGGCCCAAGGCCCCTTCCCCCACCCCACCCAACACCAGGAATTTTCTAGGGTCCCACCGGTTACCCAACCCCTAAAGCTGTCCTTGCAGGAGCCACTCCTCACCCCCCAGCCCTGCTCAAGCTAACAACTGCCATTCATAGAGCACTTACCAGGGGCAAGTGCTCCACAAGCTTCCACATCCACTTCAGTTCCGGCCAGGTGCTGGGGAGATCCCCACTTCCCAGGTGACTTAGCAGAGGCTTCGGCAATGGCCTGGTGGGGCAATGGCCTGGTGGGACACCTGCCGTGGTGCTGCAACTGAAGGCAAGGCTGGCGGAGCCCAGAACCCCGCATCACAGCCCCTTCCAGTCTGGGTTTTCATCTGCTGGGAGATGGGGAACTGAGACTCAGACAAGGGAAGGGCTGTAAGCACCCCCAGAAGAAGGGGGAGAGGACAATGCCTGCAGCTTGGGGCCTTGGGAGGTGAGCAGCGTTTGAGGGGCTACATAGACTCTGGAACCAAACAGGGTTTTGGTGTTCCTTGAGTTCCCAGACTGTAGGGCTCTCCATTTCAGCCTATCCTGGGGGTTCCGTGAGGCGACCATGGGGATGAGGCCGGTCCCCTGGCCACTAGCTCTCTGTTCTACCTAACAGAGAGCGCAGACGCCACCAGAGGGTCTGTGCCCCCTGTGCGCGACCCTGCACAACAGCCCGGGTGATGTTGCAGGAATCTCCCAGGGAAACTCCACACATACCCCTAACCTGGCGGAGGGAGGACTGTGGGGGGTGGGAACTAAAAGCCCAGGGAGCGCTGGCTGCCTGGGGCAGCAGAGGAGTCACCAGCAAGTTTTCAGAAGCCAGAGAAGGAGGGACCGAGAGTGCAAACATGTGCAGGAGCGGGAGAGGCTACGGGTTATCGACCACAGTTTCACTGGGACGCGACCCAAAGGGGGGAAGGGGAGGCAGGAGGGGCCGGACTGAACTGGCCTGCACTGCCCGGAAGGGGCCAACCCTGGGCAGCGGGCTCCCCCTGCCGGACGGACACCGACTTCCATGGCCAGAAGCCGGGAAGGAGGCGCTTGAATCCCCTAGCTCCCCTGGGGGTATTGGGGACACAAAACCCAACTAGGTTGAACATTAAAATCACACATGGCTGATAGCCTTTTATTACAGACTTGGCACAGTGATTGATGGCAGAAAGAACCAGCTGAGCCAGGGCTCAAAGCAGGGGTGAGGGGAGGGAGGGGGTCCACAGTCTCCAGTAAGGCAGGGGACACCTGCATTCTCTCCTGCGGGCAGCCACAGGGTTAACATTTCGCTTTCCTGAACTCAGGCTTTGGGGGGGGGGGTTCATCAACCCTTGGAGGAGCCTGTCAGTCTCAGAGCCACTGCAACAGAGCCCCACAGTGGAAGGAAGCGGGGTTTACAGAATAGTGAGTCAGATCAGGTCCTGGCTTGGTCACAGCAAACACTGGCCCAGCCTGGCCCCCTCTGCAGCCTGTAGCTGCCCACCCCAGCGGCCTCTGGTCCAGATTTGTGCTCAGGGGAGGCAAGCAGTTCAGCATAACCTCAGCTGAGGGTTGGCAGAGAACCCAGGTGTGGGGAGGGGAGTCGCAGAGGCTGAGAAGTGCATCTGGTCTCTGAGGTCTTGTCAGAAGCAGAACAGGGGTCAGTGGACCTGGGGCAGGCGGTGCTGACGCCCCTGGCTGTGGCGCATAGAGAGGCCAGCACTCAGCATTCACTGCACTGAACCCCCGGGTGCCTCTAAGAGCCCAGGCTGTCCTGAGAGGGGCAAAAGCATCTCTGAGGGAAGGGCCCAGGCGCCAGGGTTTTTAAAGCTCCCCAGGAAATGCCGGTGTAGTTGAAAAGGAGTGATCTGGAGTCATCAGCTGCAGAGGTGGGGAGTGGGGCAGGGCAGGGAATGAGAGCGTAGGCAGAGGCATCGTCGCTGTAACTTCATTTTACACTCAGAAAGTGATGTATGTGCATATACACATGTAACTGTCTTAAACAAATATGGGCAGTAGAGCTTGATTAAATCTTCTGGGCCTGGAGGTACCCACACAAAAACTCCTGGCTGGTTGAGATAAAATCTACATCTATGCATCTTCTACTGAGAGGTCCTTGGAGCTAAAGAGAATAAATGCAAGTTCCTTTCCACATTGTTAGGCTTCAGCTAATGGAAGGCAGCTATCAGTAGGATACGCGCTATTACAATATTTGATTAGTCAACGAGTTAGTTATAGCTCTTTCAGTTACATGCAACAGGATGTGATTCTGGCTAGTTTAGGTCAAAATGCATTTCATTTTAGAGAGAGAGGATGCTTTGAACCAGGGAGAGGACTTGCACAGCCCAGATGTGGGCGAGAAGGATGTTTAAGGAATTGTAAGAATGGCAGCCAGAGGCTATTGCTCCTTGTCCGTCATCAGTGAGTCATGAGTGATTGGCCACAATAACTCCAGGCTCTGGGTCTCTCCATCTCAAAAGTTCAAATTGTTGAGAATCAATCGGTTAGATGTGTTATGCTGGGATTGCTTGGCTGTGGCCAGCGCAGCCAGGTCACGTGGTAACCTGCTGCTGAGAACCCACCGGAGTCAACAGAAGAGACACTCACCGCAGCTGGACCCCTAGAGATGCTAGTCCAGTAAACCCTAGTCACTCACGCGAAAAAGTTACTGGGGATTATTTTCCATTTGTGGCTCTAACACTGTGACACCCCATTAGCCCACGTAATGGGGTACAGGAGCTCGGAATGAACCCCAAAGAGCCACATATATGGGGCCGGGTGGGAAAGGGTTGGGCTCAGAAGGGCCTGGGGCCAGATCCCACACCCTCTCTGAGCACCAGGCCCAGCTCCAGGCACAGCAGTTGGGAGTCAGGGCGCAAGTCTCTCATAGAGCCAGTCTTCCTCCCCGCGGCGGGTCATGGGCCCCACAGCAGAGTCTCCTGTGGGCAGGGCCCGGCGAAAGACAATCCGGTCATGCAGGCGGTTGGTTTGGCCTTGCCAGAACTCCATCACCTGTGGGTACAGGATGTAGCCACCCCTACAAGGGGAAATGGGTTTGGGTGCTCTGTGGTCATCGCCTACCACCACCATCCAGGTCCCCTGAAGGACGTTGCTGGAATACAGCTGACAGGATCACCAGAGAGAAGATGTAATTCCGCAGACGGGTGGGTGGCTTTGAGGGTCCCGTACCCCCTCTGGATGACCACCGGGTATCACTCACCAGTAAGTTGGCTTCGGCACCTCTTGTGTCTGGTAGAGCTGCTCCAGTTCCTCATTTTTCTTTCTCAGATACTGTCCGGGAAGGAGATGGAAGAAGCGCCAGATCCCATCAACCATTCATTTAACATCCCTTTACCGAGGATGCGCTCTGTGCCAGGCACTGGGGACAGAGGTGAGCGAGGCAGGCTGGCCTCTGTCCTCTGAGGGCTGACAAAGAAGGCCTGTTTCAGGCCCCTCTCCTGGGAAGAGGGGAGGTTGTTCCCAGGGAGACTGTCTTTCACAGGAGGCAGAGCGCCCTGGGGGATAGCCTCTGGGGATGACCCAAAGCCCTTCCCAACTGGAGGACCACAGAGCCGCACTTACCTCCCGGTCTGGGATCACAGAACTCTGCTGACTGACCACTGCCCCAATCTGGCTGCTCTTGGGGCGGGAGTGGAAGTAGCACTTGGCCTCCTCCTCAGGCAGCTTCTTCACGGAGCCCTCCACACGCACCTGTTCAGTGGTGGCCTTGGCGAGATGGCAGGCGATGCACCCGCCCTCCCGCCAGCACGGGCTCCTTCCTCTCTGTTATTATCCACACAGCCCAGTTCCTCCGGGTGCCAGCTAGACTAGCTAGCTACTGAGCACCATCTGAGAGGCAGGAAGTCTTCCCAGCTGGAAGCTTCCCTCAGGGGCCTCCCCACCTGGCTCACCCCTGGCTGTCCTGGGACTACTCACTCACCTGACGGTTCAGGGGCTCCCAGTAGAAGACAAGGGAAGCAAAGGGATTTGAATCCTGGAAGGGAAAACCCACAGGCAGCCTTGAGGACCCAGGGAGCTGCCCCAGTGAGATGTGCTCACTGACATCTCAAAGGCAGACCTAGGTCTGGAAATAGGCTCGAGAGGTTCGGTAATGTGTCCTGACTCACAGGGTTGAGCTGTGTGGGAGCCCTCAGGCAGGCAGACTCCAGAGGCTGCACAGCCTCACAGCCTCAGAACTGCATGCGTGCTGGCGTGGAGTCAGAGGCCTCTCATCTGGACTCACTAACTAAAGCATAGGAAGCATGACCCTGTGCTCCACACCAGGAGAGGGGCTGGTCCGAAAGCGGCGGCCCCTGCCCCCACAAAGCTTACTGTTCAGCAGAGGAGATTATATAAACAAAAAGAAATGCAGTTAGCAATGAAAAACCGCAGAAGGCAAGCTGCAGCTAACAGGGCAAGGGCCCAAAGCGGGGTGGAGGAGGCTTTCCTGAGGTAGTAACTTAGGGGCTGAGACCCAGAGAACAGCAGGCTAAATATGACAGGTGGGGTGCTCACAGAGCGCACCCTGTCCCACAAGGAGATTGGCAAGAGCACAGGCCTGCAGGCTGGACAGAGCCCTGGCACAGCTGGGGGGTGGGGTGGGGTTGGCATTAACAGGCAACTGTTGAGGCAAAAGTTGGGTCCTGAGGGCCCAGGAAGGATTTGTCGACCCTCACCAGCTCTCTTCCCTTTCGGCTCTCGAAGTTAGTGAAGAAGCGGAAGCCATCCTTGCCAAAGCCCTTCAGCAGCAGCATGCGGGCGGAGGGCTTCCCATCTCTGGGCAAAGAGCAGAGTGCCATGGTCAGAGCCGTGCCCTCACCGCCACCCCTCCCAACAAGATGGCTGAGCACCTGTTCAGCTGCCCACTTATCCAATTTAGTACAGTCTGGGCTCCTACAGATATGTCCTGGAGGAGCAAGTATGATCACTGCCTGGGGCCTGATAAGACTGAACTGTGTGCCCCTATAAGCCCATTAAGACTAAATTGTGTCCCCCTAGTAGTCTGTGTTAAAGTCTCAATCCCGGCCCTCCCTGGTGGTGCAGCGGGTTAAAGCACAGCACTGAGAAGCTAAAGCCACTTCCGTATGAGTTCGATCCCACCTGCCCCGGAGGTGACCACATGGTGTGGCAGACCTCTCCTGACCCGCCTGCTGCTCCCCTCAGCAGTGTACTTCGTCCATCTGCCTGTTCTGCTCCCCACTCTGTTTCTGATGAAGCCTCTCGCCACCCCTGAGCCTCTGGCCTGTACCCCAGTTCTGTATGCACAAATAAATAAATCTTTAAAAAAAAAAGTCTCAATCCCTAATGTTACCACATTTGGAGACAGGGCCTTTGGTGGGGGGTGGTCATTAAGGCTAACTGAGATCACAGGGTGACTCTAATCCAATAGGACTGGTGTCCTTACAATAAGGGTGCCCAGAGGGCTCTCCTGCCTGCACTCACAAAGGGAAGCATGAAGACATGGAGTGAAGGTTGCCGCTGCCAGCCAGCGAGAGCCCTCACTAGAAGCCAGCTCTGACAGCACCTTAATCATGGACTTCTGCCTCCAGAAAATAAAATCCTGTTGTGTAAGTCACCCAGTCTTTGGTATTTTGTTGTGGCAGCTCTAGCAAACAAACAAGACCTGAAAGTATGATAATGCGATTGGTCAGTGCTGAGGGACAGAGAAGGTGTAGCTACATCAGGTTCTCTGCCCAGAGCTCTGGGGGGTACCTGGCAGAGTACTAGAGAGAGCCCTGCCTTACACTCGAGTGAGGAATTGGGCAGACACAAGCTAAAAGAGAGGCTAGCGCTTCTGTTCTACTGATGGCAGATGACTGGCTGTCAAGTGAATGACATAGTCAAGCACTGTGCAGGTTTCAGGAAAGGGAGAGAGAGCATGTGGAGAGGTTCTAGCCAGAGCTCTTAGGAGACAGAAGGAATTGAGATAAGGAAGGCAAGGGTAAGAGTGGCCAGAGATAAAGGAGACACAGCATTTTAAGAATTGGATTAAAACTGGAATTCCCGAAGTGAAACTGAGTGAAGTCTGCTGCAAGGTTTACAGGTAAAGACCAGAAGCACCAGGGAGGATAAGTAACTTGTTTGGGCTACACACAAGTTAATAACAGAGCCAGAGGGTCTCCCTGGTGGCACAACAGGTTAACAGCTCAGCGCTGCAAGCGAGCCACAGCATGGCTCAGCAGACCTCTCCTGACCCACCCACAGCTCCCCTTGTCAGTCAGCCTATCCTGCTCCCCACTCTGTCTCTGGTGAATCCTCTCACTGCCCCTGCACCTCTGGGCCTATACCCCAGTTCTGCATGCATAAATAAATAAATCTTAAAAAACAATAATAGAGCCAGAACCAAAAAGCTGACATTCACCAAACTGAGGTTCTAAGTTTCCTACTTCACCTACACCCATCCACAGAAGGGTCCTGTCTATGCTCACCTGGTGCAGGTCGCCAGACACATGGCATTGGCTTCCCCTATGTCAGGACACTGAACAGCCTCCTCAAACCATGCGGCGAACTGCTTCATGGGGTCCAGGGAAGCCAGATGAGCCTCCTCAAATGCCTAGTAAGAGTATTACTTCACTTAATGAACACAGAGAGTGCTTACCGTGTACCTGGCACTGTCCTTAACACTTTTCAAATATTAACTCATCAGTTCTCATAATAACAATCTCATAACAAAAACAGTACCAAGAAGTGGGTTCTCTTTGTCTCACTTTACAGGTGAGGAAACAGGCATAAAAGGGGAGTAACTTGCCAGGTCGCTCGACAAGTGACAAATGAACAGACTTTCATGCTATGGGTGTCAAACCCATCACCCACTAAGCCTAAAAGAAAACAGCTACCTGGGCTTCACCCCATCAATGCTCTTTAGTAGGTCCGAGGTTTCATGAAAACTGCATTTTAAACAAGCATCTCCAGAAATGCTTCCCATGCAACCAGATTTAGTAACTGAGGCTCTGAACCCCAGTTCCAAAGCAGCTTTCTTGGTTCCTCTCCTGAGGAGGGAAAGGTAAAAGAACTTCTCCAAGTGGTTAGCGGAGGGAACCAGGGCAGTGGGAGCGAGAAGCCTTCTCCTCTCCTCCATGAGTTACTTTCCCTTCCCTGTGTTTTACTCGTCAAAGGCTCATTATCTCTCCCCTAAGCACTTTACAAATATCAAATCCATACTCCCTCTGGGAGGTAGGAACGATCACTGCACGGGCGCGGGAGCCGAGGTCCAGAGAGGTTAAGTACAGGGTCCAAGGTGATGCACCCGCGAGGGGCTGAATTCCAAGCCAGGTCGTCTCCAGCGCACCGCTCTGACCCAGGACTCCCAGCTGCCTCTCCGACCCATCCTCGCCCTCGCTCTCCGCGAAGCCCTGCCCCGGTGGTTGTTTACCCACCCCTTCTTCCACGACAGTGACAGCAAATTCTCTCGCCCCCCGGGCGGCCGCCGAAGCCCTGACCGGCTTCTCCGCGCCTCCCCACCCGCCCCCCCCCGGGGTGACTCGGGGCCCCAGTTCCCTCGCTCCAGCAATAGATCCGTTACCTCCCGGTCCCCCCGGTAGCTCTTGCGCATCGGTCCCAGGTCCATGACGGCGCCGAGGCTGCACAGGTGGCGGAGGTAACGAGGCCACCCGACAGGTCTCCAGGACGTCACGGTGACGCCCCGCAGCCCGAACGTCATGGGGCCTCCGGCCACGTGACCTAGCGTCGCCCGGCGCTGGGTTCCGTTGGATTCGGAACCAATGTCCCCGCCTGCGAGTCTACCCAGGAAGGGTTTGCTCGTCGCCTAGCCCAGGTAACAGGCTTAAATCCACGCAGCCAATGGGAGCCCAAGGGCGGAGGAGGGAGACAGGAGCGAAGAAGCCACTGGCCAAGGGCTCAGGGAGTGGAGCCAATCAGAATGAGAACAGAAGAACCCATTAGCCAATGGCGACGCTTCGGGGGCGGGAACAAGGAGACAGGGCGCTGCTGTCACCGCCGTTAACACGCACGTGGAGGTTTGTTAAAGGTATAGTGACTGCAGCAACCCAGGTGCGGGCGGGGCGCCAGCCGCCGGGGCGTGAGGAGAGTGGTCAGTATTAAGTGACGGCTCCAGTGGGCCCCTGAAGGCGAGCCTAGTGCAGGAGGGCCCCCCAGGTGGCAAATGGAAAATAGAATGAGGGCTAGGCTCTGAGGCAAGGTGTTGGGGGGACACAGAGAAAGGGGCCATCTGATTGGGGAAGAAGTTGGGGCTCCAGGGTGGGAGAGGCTGGAGAGACTTGTGGAACACAAGGGGGTAGGTGTCTAGAGTGGAGGGGCGGGGAGGGAAGGGACGCCAGGGTCTAAGGTGCAGTGAGATCCGGAGGAGACTGTGAGGTGAGGAGGAAGAGGGATGATTGGGTAGTGGGAAGAAGGAAATTTGGGATCAAGACAGCAGACTAAAGCCATCCTACGCTTCCAGCTCTGGCCCCACCTCCAGCCTCCTTTCCCTCACCAGGCTCGGAGCAAGCTGCTCTCTTTGCTGATGGGGCAGCGTTCACTTCAAGCCTTGTTCTGTAAATGGAAAGGTGCTCACTGTCCAACGTCTCCGGGCCGCCCCCATCTTTGCCAAGTGTCCCCCCCCTTTTGACCTTTCTAGGTAGTCAGAATCCAGTTCCCCATCCACCCCAGCCATAGCCGGAGCCACAGTGGAGCAGGGAGCTGTGCAAGGCCACTCTTGGCAGGGAATGCAGAACTGGGAAGGGGGCAACTGCCAGTGTCCACTCCGGCTTTGACCTGGCTGAGGCAGCCTCGGGTCAAGGCTTCTCTGCGATCCTGGTTTCCACCACCAACAGCCAGGGATGCTGCAAGAGCCGTCTAGGCAGGGATCACAGGACGTGCCAGGTAAGAGGAACCCTGACCAGGTGCCTGTGTTACAGCCAAGCTTCATAAAGCTCTGTCGTAGATACCTGTCATCACTTACTACGTGCTCACAGCTTGAACCATATAAACCTGAAAGACAAATTTGCTCCAAAGAATGATGGCTTAATGGTGCTGATCTACAAATTCTCCACTCATTGGAGATTTTTTGTGCTGCCTTTGTTTTTCCTTCGTCAAAATGATTGAGGGAGAGTTGACTGTACATTCTTATTGATGGGAGAATCGCTTGGACTTTGTTATTGATGTCTTTCCACATAACGGGCATGGCTGCCGGCCCTCCTCCCAGTTCCCTGCACTTGAACGTGTATAAGCAGTAATTAGCGCCCTTCAGTTCAGATGTTTTTGTTCGCGGGGCACACTCAGCACTTAATGGGCTATGCGCCCCTGGAGCCAGGATTCTGGGGCACCAAGACTAAAGCACTGGAATGATTTGCTTCAAAGTCAAGAGGTCGAAGTAGTGGGGTAGGGCCCTCCCTGGTGGTGCATGGGGTTAAAACGCAACACTATGACCCTGTCCACAGCCACAGCAGCAGGAGTTGGATCCCGGCCAGGGAGCTGGCCAACATGGCACAGCAGACCTCTCCTGTCTCGCTCGCTGCTCCCCTCAGCAGTGTATTTCAGTCAATCTGCCTGTCCTGCTCCCCACTGTGTCTCTGGTGAATCCTCTCACCCCCCATATCTCTGGCCTGTATCCCAGTTCTTGTATGCATAAACAAATCTTTACTAAAAAATAGTGGCATAACTATGTTTTCACTCAGTACACTGTTGGTAAAGACTTTCTTTGGATCTGTGAATGAGCTTGAAAAATACTGAGATGAAGATGACAGGGTTCCTGGCCACAGCGACTTGTAGTCTCTGGGGAGAGGCACATCAGTGAGTTGAAGGGGTACCATACTTTAATCGAGGTTTCTTTGAGTGAAAGGAGAACAATAAAGGAGGTCGTGGTCTCCAGGGGTCAGGTGAGCAGGAGGGTGTTCATAAAGGGAGCAGACCTTTGATTTGCCTTTGTTGGCATTTGCCAGATGGAGAGTTGATGGGGCTTGGCAGAAAGGGGGTCCAGTGTGAAGAAGGAGCCCTGGTGAGACTCGGGACATGGGAGTGCCGGCACGAAATCAGGCTGGACCAGCAGGCCGAGCCTCGGGGTGCCAGGCAGGTGGCCAGGGCCAGGCTACTCCACCACAGCAGCAATTTTTTAATTCCGTCTTGTTGTTGAACCAGAGTATCCAATCCCTGTTTTGTAAAGGCCAGATGGGGAGAAAAAGTCCTAGACTCTGATAGCCTCTCGCCCAGTTGGTGCCAAGGGAGGAAGATACGAAGCGCCTTTTTGTATCCTCCCCTTTGTCCTGAAGACCTGCATAGGCTCATGTTGTGCTTTTCTGCCTCGTGTTTGGTGTCCGGCTCACCGAGCAGCCTTGAAGTGCAAGAGAAAGGGGGGAGCGTGCCCGCCCGGGTTTATTCTGCATGGGAGAAATGAATTCTTTGTTACTGCTTTTCCTGAAACTCTTTGCCACTCTCCCCTACTCAGCTTGGTGAAACGATCCATCTCTTCTCGAGAAAGACTTGCATGGAGACAGGAGACATCTAATAACAAAACGGGGGCTTTTGGGTTCGGAAGCCCTGACTTGCCTGAATCCTCTTGATGCCTCTGCGTCTGTGTTCTTGAATCACCCTTTACTCTAATTGTTTGGTTGAATGACATATTTCAGTTCTGTCTTAACAATTGCACCCTGGAAGCAGCTTGGGTGGCCAATGTTGGGAGATGCAGGGGAAGCCAGGAATCTGAGCATGGGGGTGGTTGAGAGGTGGGCTCCCCTTCAGCAGCATGACTGACTGGGCACCCAGATTTTAGTGGTGCTGGTTACTGACGTGGGGCATATTGCAGGAGGTACACGGGAGGACCAAGTCCCGGTGAGACCTGTAGTGTGTGTGGTGTCATGGCACACCCACCTTTAGTGGAGCCAGTTAAGGTGAGACATCAGGGCTGATGATGGGGCTCAGATGACTCTTGACCCTCTGGGTGGTAGAGGGTGGCAGGAAGCTGAGAGTGTCTGAGAAGCAAGAGCCTGGGAGAGGGGGACTCACCTGGTGAAAGAGCCCCAGCTTTCCAGAAGCCCCGAGGCAGGCCAGTAGGGGTGAGTGGGGCCCCAAGCAAAGGAATTCTTGGGCCTAGCCTTGGGGTAGAGGCTCACATTGGCAGGAAACTTGTGCTCTGCCAACCGGCACCCGAGGGTATGGTTATCAGGGCCCCACAGGGAGGGTGCAGAGGAAGCAACTCTTATCCAAGTGTCCCGCTTGCGATTATGTGGCTAACCCCTCACAGGCCTTGCATGTCCACTCAAATGTTGAAGCCAGTGAGGTCATCTTGCTTGTTTGCTTCATTTTTCACTCTTCTTATGTCATGTTAACTACTTGGTTGCCATTATTGTGTAATGGTTATGTAAGAGGTCAGCATTAGGAAAAGCCAGATGGAGGGTGTGGTAAATTTTTGTACTCTATTTGTAAGGTTTCTGTAAATCTAAAATTGCTTCAAAATTAAAAGAAATTTTAAGGCAAGAGAGGGAGCAGAAGAGTATGTGTTGGTCCCTCTCAGGCCCAAGTGAATGTCCACTCCAAGCCCATGTCCCCACCTTCATCTGGGGAGCCCTCGGTACTACGCCCCATCTCCAGCAGTCCACTAGGTTTGGGCTGCCGCCTTGGTGTGGGCGGGTGGCCCTGGTGTGCTGTCTGAACCATGGGACACGCTGCTGATGGGCTCTGATGTAGGTACTATGGTGGTGGGGCCTCAAAAAGCTGGTGGTGTCAGATCCAGACCCACCCGAGGCTTTTGGGGCTAGAGAATGGGGACAAGGTCAATGCATTCCTGTGCCTGCTCAACAGCAAGTGCACCCTTCTGTGTGCTGAATTCCAGGAGAGACAGGAGACAGGCACTGTCAGCCTCTGGGGGTCGGGGTGAGGCAGGTAGGCAGATTCGTGACTGGGCCTCCCCTTCCAATCCACCAGGAGAGCAGCAGTCCTGAAGTGGACAGAGCTGATCCCTCACTCCAGGCCTGTGTCACCAGTACCTGCCAGAGGAACCGCCACCAGGTCACCTGGCAGCCCCAGCAATGCTGTGGGAGCTGCTCTACCTCTCCAGGGAGTCTGGGGACTGGCCTTCACATCCTTGCTGACACCACCTTCATCGTCTGTCCATCAAGGTGGCCAGTGCCATCAAAGGTACCAGGCAGAACGTGGAGGCATGCATCTGGGCGGGGGGTGGCTGCAAACCTGGTTCACCTGTAGCCTGCAAAGGAACAGCACCAGGAAGAGAACTTGAGCCTGGGACAGACTCCCTTCGCCAGAGGCTGCCCCACCAGCTTTGGCTGGTGCCCACTCCATTTTGATGATCTCTTGGCAACGGGTTAAACCCTGTTTTGCCATTGTGATGTATATTGGGGGAAGGAAGTTTGTAGGTAGGGGGCTCTCCTGGTGGGGTATGTTACCGGCGAGGGAAGGCTGACAGTTACTGGCCCTGATGTACTTTTTTTTTTTTTTTAAAGATTGATTTATTTATTTCTGCATACAGAACTAGGGTACAGGCCAGAGGTGCAGGGGGTGACAGGATTCACCAGAGACAGAGTGGGGAGCAGAACAGTCAGATCAACAAAGTACACTGCTGAGGGGAGCAGCAGGCAGGCAGGGAGAGGTCTGCGGCGCCATGGGGGTCAGCTCCGGGGCGGGGATCGAACTCGTGCTGAAGTGGCTTTAGCTTCTCAGTGCTGGGCTTTAAGCCGCTGCACCACCAGGGAGGGCCCTGATGTACCTTTAAACAGCTGGGCCAACATTTAAAGCTGGGGAGATTTCACACAAAATTTCCCATTTCTTGCTTCTCTTACAAAAATCACAAGCTCTAGCGTGTCACACAGCACTTGGCCAGCGCTGTCTGGGGGCACCTCGTGTGGGGCCACACATCCTGTTTTGCACCCACATTCTCCTACTTGACCTCCTAATAGCTTATCCCCTCCCCCAAATTTTAGATCTGCAGCATTTGCTAAACCCAAATCTACCCACTGATTTGGAGTGTCAGGTGGCAGAGAGGAAAGGAGTTTACAGAGGGTCCTCTGGGTGGAGCTGGCCTCTGCCCAGAAAGGATCTTGGCCTTTAGGAAACTCTTGATTCTTTGGCCTTCTGGAAATGACTCTCTTTTTTTAAGGTACTTACTGAAGGGCTCTGTGACCAAGCTGCCTTCCAGGAGCTAGAGAGCTGAGTGGAGCTGGCTGGTATGGAGGGCACTAGCTTGCCTCTGGCCGGTGTGCCTGCTTTCATGGGCACACTGCCCCCCCGAGGCCCCTCCGCGGTGCTCCAGCCCACCCCAGTGCCTTGGCTGTGCCAGGGGGCAAGGCTGCCTTCCTTCCAGGGTGGGTTGCTCTGAGACCAGGGCGGAGCTCCCACTGGAAGTGCTCCCCCCAGAGCACTGAAGGTTAAAAAAAAAAAAAAAAAAAAGCTGCACTGCAGAGTTGCAGATTTTGCCTCAGGCAACTAAATTTATTAGCAAGAAAAAATTTTTGTCAGCCCAGTGCTGACCAACAAAGTACATTGTTAATAAAGGATAACAAATCTGTCACTTCATTCATAAAACATACCTCAAGCAGTTACAACTAAAAATAAAGTTGGATTTTTGTTTAATTTAAAAGCCTCAAAAATAACAAGCAATATGTTTTTTTAAACATGTAGTAGACACAATTGTCTATTATACAATATACACTGTACACAAGTCGAGTTGGGGCTGGTGGGGGGTGAGATGAGGGGGAGAGGTTCAGGACATGAAGGTGTTAATCTGAATCCAGATTTGAGTTGAAATGCCGTGTCATTTAGAAAAGAGAATTGCTAGAGAAAAAAATTCATATGCTCATCATTGCCCCCCAAAACCCTAAACGGAAAGCAGGCATGGGGGAGGTGAGTAACAAGGACAGGAAGAAGGGAGCAATTAAATAAAACTTTAAAGCACACACAATACACAGTGTTCATCATCTGAAGTAGAGTATAAGGCAACGTTCTCCATAGAAAAAGAGGAGAGTCAGGGAGTCTGTGGGGAGCTTGACTTTTAAATAGAAAGTTGGAATGTGCTGGAGGGGAGCTGTGGCAGGCCTGGCGTGTGGAGCGGCGGCAGCCTCTTGAGCCTCTCTGAGGTGGATGCCATGGTGCCCTGGGGCAGGGCCGGGGACCCGTGGTGGCTGGAGGGCCGGGAAGGTGCAGGAAGAGGGGAGGGGCATGGCACGGGTGCGACTCCGGCAGTGCTGGGGAGGGAGGGGGCTCACTTTGCTCCTCGACGGAGTGAAATTCATGTTTTTCCTTTGGAAATAAGGGTTCCCACTCGTCCTGATTTAGAACGTCTCACTGGGCACGGCCAGTGTCCATGGTCTGGGCAGGCCGGGAGCGCATGGTGAGAGGGAAGGGTCAGGGTGGAGCCAGAAGGGGGCAGGTGACGGGCAGCAGAGCCCCGTCCCGTAGGGACAGCTGCAGACGAGGAAGGAGGGGCCGAGGTCAGGCCCGCGGAGGACGCAGGCCTCCTTTCAGCCCGGGCCGGGCAGGACACAGACACGAGGGCATATCTTCTGGCCTCCCGCCTCAGTTGGCCTTACAAGTTCTTCGTGACCAAGTGAGTCTTGTAATGCTTGGTGAGGTGGTCACTCCTCATGAAGCGCTTCTGACACTGGGCACACTCGAAGCGCTTGTCCCCTGGGGAGAGGAGACACGTGTCACTCAGAAAGTCCAGAGTCACTGTTGCGACGGAGAGGACGCACGCGAGGTGTGAGGAGACCTATGCAGCTGCCGTGGCCCTGTTACCACATTCTCCCCTTCCTGCTTGCACCGCAGCCCCCCGCGGGAGCGAGCTGAAGCCCTGACCAGTTCTCAACCCACTCTACCCACTCGACGTCACTCTTCTGTTTGCTCTGCCGAGACCCATGTTCCTCACCCGAGCACCTGCGCTCCTGCAGTCAGAACCTCTCCAGTAGGGCTGCTGCCTGCTTCCCCCGGGCCTTTGTCCCTCTGGCTAACCTGGATCCTTCCCTCCCCTCGGAGGGAAGCCCACCCACTCTGGCCTGCCCTCATGAACAGAGTCCAGCCAGGCCCACCTCAGGTGAGGTCAGCTGCCGCTCCGAGTACCTGCTCCTCAGCCTAGACAGGTGGGCACGGCCTGTCAGCTATGCCGGCCAGGAGCCGGAGCTCTGGGTCAAGTGTCCCATCCCAGCGCCAGGACGGGCCCCCGGGGGCACTCGCGGCAGCAGCGGTTCTCACAGTGCGTGGTCCACTGCAGATTCCCAAGACAATTTCGGGTCGTAGCTGGGTGAATATTTTCACACTTATAGTTTTGTATTTACTTGCCAATGCATTAAAACATAAAACACGTGGTGTCAGAAATAAAAGTGATTGGGCATAAATAAATAAAATTAGTGAAGCAACTGAAGAAAAATCATTTGCTAAGTGATGGGAATGGCACTGGACGCGGGAGCCAAAGGCCTGGGTTTAAGCCCAGTTGCGCTCATCACTAGTGTGTGGCTGGCCGCCTGGCAGGCCTGTGTTAGAACGGGCAACCAAAGCACCTCCTCAAGCTGTGAGGATTAAACCAGTTCATCAACAAGGCGTGCGGTGCCGCCTGCTGCCCAAGGCGGCGCCTGTTCAATCAGCGAGTCTGTGGACAGCAGAAACTCAAAGTTGTGTGATGCCGACACCACTGAGACATCTCTGGGAAAGACCCGGAGAAGAGTTCCCGGGGGGTCCCAGGCGCCCCGTAGAGGCTGGCTCTCTGGCTCAATGTGGCAATTCCTTGGCAGGGCCAGGAAGCTCCATGTCTGCGGGCAAGGGAGTGGGGGTGGCTGCGGTTTGCCGCCAGGGAGGGGAGCAGACCTGTGTGGGTGCGTGCGTGCCTCTGGAGTTCGTCGCTCCGCGTGAATCTCTTCCCACAGAAGAACCAGTTGCAGACAAAGGGCCGCTCGCCGGTGTGCAGGCGCACATGGGCCCGCAGCAGGGACGTCTTCCGGAAAGTCTTGCCGCAGTCAGGGATGTGGCACACGTGCTTCTTCTTGCCCTGCTCTCCAGACCTGGAGAGGGTGGAGACGAGCAGGTCAGGGAGCACAGGAAAGGTGGGGTCCAGGAGGCGGGGCACTGCCACCCCATCCCACTGTGGTCTGCGCTGGCTCTCAGCCCCGGCTGGTGTCCAGGCGCAGGGCACGGGCCAGGCTGGCAGGCGGCACGCCCCTTCAATTACCTCTTGTCCCCATCCTTGCAGTTGGGACAGGTGCAGGCCATGCGGCGCCGCTTCTCCCCAGGCTGCGTCTCTCCGGCCAGAGCCTGCTCCATCTGCAGCTGGATCTGGGTGGGGCTCAGCCCACTGATGGTCAGGTTGTTCCCAGAAACATTTTGTACCGTCAGCTGCTGCTGGCCTGCGGGGAGAAGGTGGTGAGGCTCAGGGCAAGGCAAACTGAGGGGTGAGGAGGAAGTGTGCTGCCTCCCCTCTGCTGCAGAGGATGAAATTATGGCAGCCGGCAGTGCGGAACGCCTATCACGGCCAGACGGCGCGTCAGAGACCTTCAATGTACCGACTCATCTGATCGTCATAACCCGAGGAAACAGGTACTGCTATCCTCCTTTTGCAGGCAAAGAAACAGCTCCGTAAACCTGCTGAAGTCACACAGCTTAGCTCGATTGGACTGAGCCCAGACTGTCCACTTCAGCGTCAAGGCACAGCACAAGGTCCTGTCTGCACAGGCAGAATTTGCATTCAGATGTCGCCTGCTGGGAAGGGTCTTGTCTTGGGCTGTCTTGAGAGTGTTTCTTCTGGAGTCTCTGCCAGCCTTACACCCTTGAGAGATATCAGCTCTGCTTTCAGGAAAGTCTCCGGGCATGAACTCTGGAAAAATTGAAGTCTTCTAGGACTTAGGTAGAGCCGTTTAAAGCAGGGGAGTGTCAGGACCTAATGCCATGCCCCTGGGGTTAGATTCCTCCCTGCTACTAAGCCAAACTAACAAAGTGTCTTAAATTCATGAAGAATGAAAGGGGACAACAACAACACAAACACCACAAAACAAAAATAAACAGGCAAAGATAAATCAGACTCTGCAGGGGAGGGGGAGGGAAACTGATCAAAACGACTATGGGAAGAGCACAAGGGACTGTGGTCATAGTGCATGGGGGAGCTGGTGGGAGGAATTCTGTGGGGACTACACCTGAGAGGAGAAAGCAAACATTGTAAGAAAATTAATTAATTTTAAAAAAAGAATAAAGGGGAGATTCGGAGAGCTTCCACTTCACCCAGCCAAGAATGCGCAGAGCCTCGTCTGCTCGGTAGTGGCGTGCTTCCTCTGGTTACCTGCAAGCCCTCTACGGAAAATGCAGAAAAGCCACCCCTCTGTCCCTTCCAGCCTTAACTGGGAGCTGTCTCCTTCTAGAAGCCTTCCTTCAAGCTCCTCCACCAAGAGCTTTCCTTGAACATGTCCCTGCTTTGTACCAAGCATTAGTCAGCGGTTTCGTGAATACGTCCCATTTCTCCACCATACTAAAGAGCTTCAGCTGTCAAGAGGGGCGCACACATGTCTGAAACTGTCGGTCTCTCTTAGGACAGCTGTAAGGGCCAAGGGGATGTGCTTTTAAGTGGGAAGCAACCAGGTAACAGCAGCATCCTCCCGGGGGGGGGTGGGCACTGGCACAGGCACACTGGCTGCGCCCTTCCTACCTCCTGTGTTGGTGATGGTGACCGGCACACCCTGGACCTGGACGCCGTTGATGTTGATGGTCTGCATGGCCTGGGCCGCTGCGGCCAGCTGCGCTGCATTCAGGCTGATGATGCTCCCGGCGGGGGCGATCTTTGGCAGGGGGCGCTCTTTCCGGAGAATCGCAGCAGAGTGCTTTTTGCCGGTCCCACTCAGATGGGGAGCCCGGGACGCGGGGCTGCTACAAGTGGTGGTGGAGGTGGTCACGGCTGTTCCTGGGGAACCGTCCTGAACCAGGACTGTCTGCACCTCACCGGAAGGCGTACGGATGTAGACCTAGGAGGGGCAGAGACAGTCGGTGGCCCAGGAGAGAGGCGGCTCCCTGCCTGCACTGCAGTGTCATCTCCCACATGAGAACTGCGAGTGCCTCTCTGTCAGCCTGAGGCTGCCTCTCTTCCAGCCAGCCCAAATCTACATGTGCACATCTTCAAGGAAGTGCTGGTGGCATCCGTGTGTGTATGAGCCGGCAAATGCCGACTGCTGATCTGAAACCATACATTTAATTTACTTAGTATGGAAACTGCAAATGCCAAATCTCAAAACAGGAGAATCAGAAGGAAACCAAATGATGATCAAAAGATGAAACTGCTTTCAGGAGGCACCAGGAAAAGAGAAAACAGAGTTAGACTGGCGGAGACGGAAATGTAACCAGCGCTCATCACCGGGGAGACAGCAAGGTACGCAGGTGCTCACTCCCAAGTTAGTGGGAAGGGCACAGGCTCGCAGAGGGTGTTTGCAAGCGTGTATCAAAAGACTGACAAACAGATGTGGTAGAGCCTGCAGTGGGGAGAGGAGGGCACCCGTGGGGCATGGCCGCAGCAGTGGGGCGTGGGTATAGGCGCCCGTCGGCTGAGGTGTCCGCTGGGAGAGCGGAGCGGCCGTGGGAGCCTGGTGAGGTACGGCGGGGCTGAGCCAGACGGAATGTCAAGGATAACAGGAGCTGGGTTCTTTACCGTCAGAGAAGGGCGTTAAGGCGTATGGAGAGGGAGCAACTAGAAGGAGTTCTGGGGGCACTGGGGGAACTCCTGGTTCCTAGGTGGGTGGGCGGGCACTCGCACATGTGTGTGGTGCCCAGGCCTGTCCAACTATCCTGTTTATACCGACATGAGCTGCTCAGCTGAGTCCACTGAGAAGGGCTGGCGCAGCAACACTCCAGTACTGATGAGCGCACACCGCACCCAGGGCTCAGTTTCTAAATCCCACGCTCCGCTAAAGGAGCCAGCGAGCCCAGGAACCAGCTGCTTCCTGGAGCGAAGCAGGGACGATACAAGCAGCACTTGGGCTACCTGCTGAACCGGAAGGTAAGTGAGTGCTCAAAGAATGTGGTGACGGGAAGGGTCCAGGCTCCACAGGCCAAATACGGATAATTTGAGAATCAAAATGTAACACTAACAGATGAAAGCCCATGGAATAAAACAGGAATGTGTGATTCCCTGCAATAAAAAGAAATGGAGACGAGAAGAAAAGACTGCTCTCACATGCCCAGGAGCCAGGCTGCTAGGAGAAATACCCAGCCGCAGGGCTGGGAAAGACAAGAATGCAGTACTGACACAGCTTCCACGTGGATGAACCTCAAAAATGTTAACCAGTTGACCCCTGAACAACTTAGGGGTTAGGAAACTTCAGGAAGTCGAAAACCTGCGCACAACTCCGAGTCCCCCCCCCCCAACTGAACTATGGTCATCCCTGATATCCACGGGGGGCTGGCTTCAGGACCCTCCACCTCACACCCTACAGTGCAGCACAAGACCAGCGAGACCATGGTAAACGAAGACTAAGAGGCTATCAATACCCTATAGCATAAATATACCAGAGGGGTCCACGAGGTGCAGTGTGGTGTTTGGGCTGGATCTGGGACAGAAAGAGGACAGCAACGGAAAGTCCCTGACGTCCTTATCAAGCCTGGAACTTGGTTAACAGTCATGGGCCAGTGTCGGTGCCTCAGTTGTGACACATGCACCCTGGCAATGTAAGATGTTTATCACCAGGGAAACCAGGCGAAAAGTGCGTGGATGCACTGCGCTACTCCACACCCCTTCCGTAAACAGGAGCTTATTCCAAGGTCTGAAAACTGAATCTAAAAAATGTATCATAGTAAGATACTAAAACACATAGGCAAAAGTTGGTAAGGACTGTAATACTTACATAGTCTAAAAATATCCCCTACAACTACTAATTCGTTACAAAGAGAAAAAAGGTAACTTTAAGGTGCAGTCTGGTAACTATCACTTTCATCACCAGTAATGGAACTGGAACGAGCTGAAATCACACACTCCCTGTAGGATGCTGAGCGCTCACAGCATCACTTCTGTGGTACTTCTGCAAAAAATGCATCCAGTTACAAGGAAACATCACACAAACCTACGCTGAGGGACACTTGACAAAATACCTGGCCTCCTTCCCAAGTGTCAGAGAAGACCGAGGAGCTGTTTCAGATCAAGAGAGACTAAGGCTACAGGCAACTAAGCGCCATGCTTCACGCCTAATGAGTCTCTTGTGCCTCGAGGCCATCACTGGAGGGGGGCGGATCGATGGCCTCTGGGTTCAAAGTCAGTTGCTGGTTTTGCACACTTTCTATAAAGCATTCAAGAAGCAAGGCGGGGTGCGGGGCAGGGGTCCTGGTGGCAAGAGATGCTGAAATAACTCGGGGGAAAAGTTTGTTTTAAAAAATCTCTGTTGTCATTTATTTTGGGGAAGGGGAAAGTATGTTTATTTTTAATTCCTGGATTATTCAGGACAGTGTTTCTTAGTTAAAAGCAAATAAACACCATGTTATCTCAATGAACACATGACTCTCATGCCCGGTTTTCTGATGTGTGCAAATGACGGCTGTTTTCTGTGTATCCTATGTTTCTGTTACAAGAACATCTTTGTTCAAAACATATAGAGTTGGGGTCAGCCAGCTTTCTCCATAATGGCTAGACAGTAAGTATTTTCAGCTTTTGTGGCGATGAAGTCTGCTTTGCAGAGCAAATGCAGCATGGACAGGCATGCCTGTGTTCCCATTAAACTTTATTTACAAAAGCAGGTGGTGGACAAGTCACATTTGACTTGAGGGCTGTAAATTGACAATTTCTGGTACAAAATATAGTATATTTAGAAGACATATGCTCATCCCTTGGTACACAGTTGTGTAACAGACAGCACCGCAGGATAATGGGAAACCCTGAGTCTGCATGACTGTTTCCTCAGGAAGACCTGTTGAAGCTCTGCCTCCTTCATTCTCAAAGCACAGCATCTTAGGGAGGGAGCGAGGCACTCTGGGGATGTGTACACCTGAGCAGTAGCACTTTAGCTCCTCACCTTTAAGGTAGGTCTGATGACGCAACTCACAGATATTGTAGCAGCTAAACAATTCACAGGACATCATTTGGCAAGCCACAATGTGCCAGACGGGAGGAGGCGTGCTGGAGCAGGCCTCAGATTTCCTCTGGCCCGACTTCCTTGTCCACAGCGCAAACTCACACCAGGAGACTGCCCTGCTCCTACTGGCTCGCTGTGACTAGATTCTCCAGTCTTCAATGACTTTATCATTTCCCTGAGCTCCTGGTCTCCATTTGCAGCCTGGACATCATCTTTGGCATTAGTGGGCACACGCAAAGGTTAAAACTTGCGCCACAGAGCCAGAGAGGTTCCAGACAATTAGATCACTTTGGTAAGTGTCAGAAGATTCTTGATGGGTCTACATCTCAAATGAATCCAACCGAAATGTCCCTGCTACCCAGCTAGGATGTTGCTTCTATTATTTCCTTGTCACTAACCAGGACTGAACTTTTTTCACTAACGTTCTTCCTTTACATCAAATTCTATGGCTCTGATTTTTTTTTCCCTCTTGCTACTATTCTGAACATGTAATTCTAAAATAAGAAATAGCCTTGATTTAAAAAATTATTATCTAAAATATTCCCATAAGAAAAAAGTGGACCAAAATATAGGTACGTGGTGTTTCATCTGATTCTAATGACAAGCTGCACATGGTCTTGGAGCTGGAGTCATCTGTCGGGCAGAATCGCCACTGCTGTCTGCCCGAAAGGACACTGACCTCTGACACGCAGACCGAATCGGGAGATGCATCAGCATCTTAGAAAGCAAGCCGAGGGGGGAAAGAGTGTCAGCCACTCGGAGCTAAGGGGAGAGAGGTGGGTGCGGAGGGTGTTTGGTACCTGAGTAGGCGTCGGCTCAGCCGCCTGGATCTGAAAGTTCTGGGAGGGCTTCTGGGGAACCGTGGGGAGGGTGGCAGATGCGGCCTGCACCACCCGCAGGGCCTGCTGAGGGATCTGTACCACCTGCTGCTGCTCGGCCTTGGGGGGCACCACCTGGACCTGCTGGACCACAGCCGGCTGGCCCCCGCCGGGGCTCTGAACGATGAGCAGGTTGTTCCCCGCCTGGATGATGTTGTCTGCGGTGGTCTCGATCAGCACCGTCTCCACCTGCTCGGCCACGGCCACCGGCGGCTGGGAGGCAGGAAGACTCTTCTTCCTGGCTTTCTTGTTAGTCTTAGACAGTGGGGCAGGGGGGCTCTCCGTGAGGAGCTGAGTGGGGGCCCCGGTGTCGCTGGTGTTCATGAGGTTGTTGACAGGCAGAGTGAGTGTCACGTTGCCACCCCCACCTGTCAACTTCACCACGTTGGCCCCGCTCTGCACGGGGGTGGTGGCGGTGCTCGACTTCTGCACAGGGGCTGGCTTGATGGGGACAGGCTTGTGACTGGACGGTGAGGGCGTGATGATGGCTTGGTTGGTGCCGGGGATGATCTGGATCTGATTGGTAAGATTGGGCTGTACCTGGATGGTCTGGGAACCACTCGCCTGAATTTGAGGAACCGCTTGGTACTGGATGTTGGCATTTGATCGGGTCCCTTTGTTGATCATGGTGGGATTCTGGATGGCGAACACCAGCTGCCCCCCAGGGTAGGACGTGCTCAACTGTGACCCCTGAATCTGAAGTATGTTTCCTTTGGAGGACAAGATTCCAAAGCTATTCTTGCCGGGACTAAGAGGAAGAGGGGCCGGCTTGATGGGGACCAGTTTCCGTGGTGTGGGCTGTGGGGGAGTAGGAGGTGTCACAGCAGCTTCAACAGCTGGGGGGCCAATTTTGCTACATGTTGCAGCAAGGAGGGCTAAGGGAGATGGCTGGGAGTCCTGCAAACACCAAACGGAGACCAGAGTGAGATGTGAGCGCCTGTGGTCCTGTCTCCCCTCCCTCTTTAGGATTCCTGTCTTGGCAGCTGCTCCCCACCTCTGGTAGGTAGGGTGCCACCATGGCCCCTCCACAGTGGCTGCACTGAGTCGATGAGAAAGAGGGGGCAAGGTCTCCCTCAGGAAGGGGCCCCAGCACCCACAGCAGAGTGAACTAATAAGCTGCCCACTTACTCGCCACTGGTCCTGCTTCTACTGTGGACACAGAGCCACCAGGTCATAGATGGAACTATCAGCCCTCCACAGGGGCTAAGGGACCCCTACTTCCTCAAGGGAAGAGAGACAGGGACGGAGGGAAGAGTAAGGGAGAGGCAGCAGGGAACCTGACACTCAGGAAAGTGTTTTCTAGTGCACGGAATGTGACCTCATCAAGGGGGGGGAGGACTGCTCTTTCGAGGTGACCAGAGCCCATTTTCCTCACATGTTCAGTGGGTCTGGTGAAAGGGACCTTGCATTGAATCCTCCCTTTCCCCCAACTAAGTGGCCATGGTTTTAGTTCAGAAAAGTGGGTAACTGAACCCTCCCAGCTGCAGACCCTCAGGGATTTACAGAGCCAACAGATCATGCTGTCACTGTGCTCTAGCACCTGCTTCAGAGAGCCCTTCCAGACTGAGCAGCCCCAACCCTCTGTGCCCACTGCCCGCTTGCCTGGGAGGTGGAGGCAGCGGGCTGCAGGTAGTCACTGGGGCTGACAGCGGCGGTGGCAGCCATGCTGGTCTGTGGATCTGTGGGGAGAAAGGAGATGGCGTGAGGCTGAGATGCTGAAAGGAACCCAAGCCCACCTGCCTCAGATTTTCTTTTTGCCTCAATGTGCTGCTGCTTCTCTAAGAGAGGGTAATAATCTTTCCCCACCCTTCCTACTCAAAAGGTAGCAACTCCACATCTTTCTCAGAAGACCTCCTCTTCTCAGATTCTGTCATCATACAGCCTGGGCTAATACCAAGGTGCCAAGAACAGTTTCAGTAACTCAGCTGCACCCACACTTCTTTGCTGGGCACTGCCGACTGTCCCAAGCCAGAGGCTGCCTAGGAAAGAAGCAACCGCTAGGCCAGGAAGCCTGACAGGGAGGACACACTTGCTCCAAGGAAGGTCTCGGGTGGCTTAGGAACAGCGGCCCAGGTGTTGACCTACAGTGTTAGGTTCTTGCTTACATGAACTGACACTTTCACATAGGTTGACAATATGGTCTCGTATATCACCAAGCCTTGGAAAGCTAATGACCAAACAGAATGCAAAGAATGAAAATACAGTAAGTTCTATTTTTGTTTAGCTATCTAAAAAATGTTCATTTTAAAAAGACATCATCTCATGCCTTCCCTGGTGGCGCAAGGGGTTAGAGTGAAGTACTATGAAGCTATCTGCAGCCACTGCAGTGTGAGTTCGATCCCCAGACAGGAAGATGACCCACCTGGCACAGCAGACCTCTTCTGTCCCACCCACTGCTCCCTTTAGCAGTCAGTACTTTCTTCCTTTTTTTAAAAAAGATTTATTTATTTGTGCATACAGAACTGGGGTGCAAACCAGAGGCTCAGGGGTGGTGAGAGGCTTCACCAGAGACAGAGTGGGGAACAGAACAGGCAGATCGACGAAGTACACTGCTGAGGGGAGCAGCGGGCGGGTCAGGAGAGGTCTGCCGCGCCATGTGGTCACCTCCGGGGCAGCGGGAATCGAACTCATGCAGAAGCGGCTCTAGATTCTCAGTGCTGTGCTTTAACCTGCTGTGCCACCAGGGAGGGCCCAGTACTTTCTTTTTAATAAAAAAAGGAAAATGTTGAAGTACTGATGGGACTCTCTGTTGTGAAATACAAGATAAAAATTCATGAGAACTTGGGGGAGAAATAATCTATATGCTCATTTATGGGTTTTTAAAAAAAGATTTATTTATTTATGCATGACCTGGGTGGAGGGCACAGGTGTGGGGGGGTGAAAGGATTCACCAGAGACAGAGTGGGGAGCAAAACAGGCCGACCGACGAAGTACACGGCTGAGATAGGAGAGGTCTGCCTCACCATGTGGGTCAGCTCCCTGGCTGGGGATCGAACTTGTGCTGCAACGGGAGCGAGAGCTTGATAGCACTGTGTCTTTAACCCCAGTGCCACCAGGGAGGTCCTATATGCTTTTAGTTCACAAATCACAAAGGACATGAACACTGGGCAGAGTCTGCCTTGTATCCCATGCCTTTAAGGGGATTTCAGGGAGGTCAGTGTTACTCCAGAGAACGGACGCCATAGAGGGGCTCTGGCACTGAGCCCCTAATGGGAATCTAGCACCCAAAGACAGGGAAGAAAGGACTCTGAAACTGTTCTTTGGAGAATGATTCTTAAATGGGAGGAGAAGGGGGAACTGAAAGCCGGGTCAGGTGACGGGCAGCCAAAAGGTCACACCAGTCACTCCGAGGTGCACATAGCGATGGTGCTCCAGGCGGGCAAAGCTGCAGGCACGCTGGCAAACAGTGCCTGGCCAAAACCAGAGTGAGATCCTGAAATATTAGACACTGGGCCTTGGCAAAATCCTAGAACAGATGACTGAACAGCACTGTAGTTACTGAGGGAAGAAAGCAGTGAGGAGTAAGCACAAGGTTGCAACTCAAGTCAAGTGGGGCGGAGCTGCTATAGGGTTTGGAGTGGGTCGAGGGAGAGCAGCTGCCTGAAACTTCACAATGTTCTTAAGACTAAGGAAGGGAAGAACCGCAAACGGGATGCTAAGCGGGGGCTAAGCTGAACAAGCCTGTTTCCGCGTAAGAGCTGAGACCCACACTCAAGTTTACTGCTTCTGGGTCAAACGGGGTGTCTCAAGTTGGGTGGGCTGCGGGACCAGGGTTGCACCTGTTTTCACTGTAATGATCATCTTTCTAACATGAACATGAGGACCTCCCTGGTGGCACAACGGGTTAAAGCACAGTGCTATGAAGCTATCCACAGCCACTGCAGCATGAGTTCAATCTCAAGCCGGGGAGCTGACCCACAAGGCGTGGCAGACCTCTCCTGACTCACCCACTGCTCCCCTCAGCAGTGTACTTCAGTACATCTGACTGTTCTGCTCCTCACTCTTGTCTCTGGTGAATCCTTTCACCCCCTGCACTGCTGGCCTGCACTCCAGTTCTTGTATGCATAAATAAATAAATCTTAAGGGAAAAAAAAAGATCCTGAAGGGGAATAAAATTTAGAGACTCACAAAACCAAGGACAAAGGTCCTGTGTCCTCACAGGACTCTGAGAGGCATCAGGAATTGATACGAAAAGCATCAAGCTTTTACATAGCGGGTAATCAAATAATTCCCCACTTTTAACTTGAAATAACTTGGGTTAAAAAATTGCACTTGGATTAAAGAAAGAAGAATCACAGACAAGCAGGACAGGAAGATGGGGCTGGTTCTCATGTTAAAAGTGCCAGTGGTTTCGATTTAGAGCTGAAGGGGCAGCAACAGACTGTGGATGTGGTTGCCAAAAAAGCTCCTGCAGTCGAGTGCGTTTCCAAATTCAGTCGTAGCAGAGAAATAACAGTCCCAGTGTGCTCTGTGCACGTGGCCCACAGCTGGGGCGCGGCCAAGGAGTAGCCGCAGCGTCGTGGGAGGCAGGGCGCACCTGCCCTGGTGTTTCCAAGGGTAGAAAGCTCAAGACCACGTTCAGTTTAAGACGAGGGAGAACTTTCAAAAGATGGAATGGTTGCCTTCTGACTGTTCTCCCATCTCTGGAGTCATTTAGTCAGAGGCAGGACGTGTATCTGTGCAGGGAAAGGGAAGTTGGATTAAGGTTTTTCATAAAAGCACAAGCCAAGTTCGTTGCTGGCAGAGCTGGGGAAGAGAGACAGGGGCTCTCCCCAGGAGGCTCCCGTGGCCCGGGCCCCCTTAGCTAAAAGTGGTGAGTGACTCTGCCTCACACACCCTCTGTTATGAAACAGAAGGACACCAGAATAGGACAGAGAGCAAGCGAAACGAAAACTGGCCTTGTGCTTCCTGTTCATCTCCCTTTCTCACTTCTCCACCTCCCTCTGCTGTCTTTCTTACCCTGGACTCAGGCTGCTGGGAATGCCTGAGTGATTCTTCCTTTAGGAAGTTAAAAACGAAATCTATAGAAAACAAGCTCCAGCTGCACCAGTTTGGTTTCATTTTCCTTCCCAGCTGGGTTTTGAAATGCTCCTTCAGCTATCAAGCCAGTGTCTGTAAGCACCTCTCCTAGTATCAGGGCTCAGGGCTCTGTGGCCCCTGGGCCGTGGACCTGGGCAACCCAAACAGACCATTTTCCCTGCCACTGCAGAATTATACCCGGGGATTAACCATGAAAGGGAAAAGAGACACATTTTCAATTGGTGTTTGGAAATGAAAAGTGGTTCAGATGCATCGTAGATACGTAACTGGGAGACCGTGATCAAAGGGACGTTGGAACCTTATATCTAAAACTTGTAATTTGGACATAAATTATGCTTAATTTCCTCCATACTCTGCAAAATGAAGCTAAACAGTGTATGAAGGCAGCAAAGGGACACAGGCATAGTTATGTAATTGTTTTATACCACTTCCACCATTTTAATCATACTATTTGCTTTTAATAGCAATTGACATCTGGACACTGAAACCTACATTTGGCGACATGGGCCACTGGGATGGATGCATGTTCTTGAAAGAAAAAGCACCTTTTCTTTCAGAATTCTACCTTTACTCATTTGGGTTGACTAAACTTTCCCCACAGTCCTTAAGCCCGAGAGGTGGGTAAGTTTTTTTATAACTAAAATAGCTCTCTGGAGCCCCAAGGCAAACTTCAAGGGTACCAAACAAGGCTTCCAAGTAGGCAGGGGTGGGGGGACCCCAGTGCCTGATGGGCCACAGCTGACTTTCCTTTCCCCACAGGGAAGCCAGAGCGATCCCCAGGCCAGCAGGGAAGCACTGCCCTTCCCCAGCCTCATCACGGCCTCTGTCCCCTCCAGCTTCAGCAAGGCCTGACTGGGGGGAAAGCCCCAGCCCTTTCCTTTCTTTCTTTTTTAAAAAATAATATATTTCTTAAATTTATATTTTATATTATACAAAATATATTTTTACATCATTTTGTGCATTTTTCCATCTCAGCTGCAACCCCCTTGGTCCCAGCCCTTTTCTGAGCTGTGCACTGGGCCTTTGGCCTCAGCTGTCTGCTGACACTGCTCTCGCCTTGGTCAACAAAGACCTCCTCCTCCATTCTGCATCCAACAGACCCTTGTCCAGTCTTGCTCCCTGGACCAGTCCCCCCCTCCTTCAAATCGCCCCAACTTTCTCCTACCTCTTTAGCCACCTCTTCCCTTTGCTACCTCCTGGACACTGATGTTCCTCGGCAGACCTTCCCACCCAACAGCCACTCTGCGGTGACTGAGCCCACTGGTGTGGCTTCAGGCCCCCGCCACAGGCTGACGACTCCTGGAGTGGCCCGGGTATCTCTTCCAATGGCGGAACAGTGCTCCCGGCCCTCAGTGGGCTTCCCCTTGGGCCGGCCATGAGCTCCCAACAGCTAGCTGTCACCTTTGCCCATCCTCTCCCAGCATTCTCATCCTGGCCCTGGGCCTCTGGCTCAGCCTGGAGAGCCTTCACTCCTGCCGCTGCCCTCTGCCTGCTGGCTTCTCTCTCTTCTAGCTAGTGCTCACTCACCCTTCAGGTCCCAGTCTGGCTTTTAACCAGCAATTTTTTTCTGAGATCCTGTTATGTTGTAGGTATGTCACTTCCTCGAAGAAACCTTCTAGCAGGCTGGAGGTAAGGTTAG